CGCGCCGGCCCGCCCCTCCCCCGCGCCGGCGGCACGCGCCTCCGCCCTAAGCTGCTCGCGAGCGCCGGGGAGGACGTGGAGGAGGAGAAGGCAAACGAGGAGGGGTGGGAAAAGGGAAGGCCGAAGAAGGGAAGGCTAAGGGGGGCGAAGCAGAAAGGGAGGTTGCGAGGACGACCGCCGCCACCGCCGCCGCCGCCGCCGTGGCCGCCACCGTCGCCGCCGGGTGTTCAGCCGCCCTGCTGCCGCTGTTGCTGCCGTCGCCGGCCAGGCAGCGCCTCACGGGGCGAGCTGCGTTCCCCTGTCGCCACGACGCTCGCTGCTACTGCTGCCGCCGGCCTCCCTCTGCAGCCGCGCTCCATGTCCCTCGACTCGTCGGCAGCCCCGGCAGCAGCGGCGACGGCGGCGGCTGCTGCAGAGGCCGAGGCGACGGCTCCACATTGCGGGCCGCAAGCCGGGGGAGCTCTTTCCTGCCTTCCCCAGTCCTCTCGCTCACCCGGCCGGCCGCAGCCCGCCCCGGGCTTCCGGCCGCGCCTCTCTCCCCGCCCCTCGTCGGCGCCTGACGCGCGCGGGCACCTGTTCGCCGCGTCCGCGCGGGATTCGCTGGCTCGCAGGTCTCCTCAGCCGCACCCAGGTGGCGCCGGCCGCTTTAACCTCTGCGCAGCCTCACGCCCGGGGGGCGGCGGCGGCGCGCTCCGCCGACTAGGTAACTAGCATATCCCTAACGGTCCCACAGTTCTAGGGCGTGGACACCCCCCACCTCCAGTGCGCTACGCGGCGTGGCCCCGCCCCTAGCCTCGCTCTCACCTCAGGATGTGGCCCCGCCCCCAGCACGCTCACCTCGGGGTGTGGCCTCGCTAAGGCCCACCTATCTCTTGGGGAGCCGCGCGGCCGGGTCCCCAGCCTCGTTCTCACCCGGGAGTCTCGCTCCGCGCTCTGCCTCCTGGGAGTGAGGACTCAGGCTACTCTCCTTAGAGTGGGGGACTGGGAACACTCCTTCAAAACAGGGAGTCCATTCCCAAGAGGTTTGCCGTCGCAGAATTTAGGTCTGGGTCACGCAGCGCTAATCCATCAGGAGAGGGAGCCCTAGAGAGCAGTAAGAGGGATGACTTGGGAAACTCCGCATCTTAATGATGATGACTCAGTGTTATGAAGGACAGACCAGATGCTTCGGAAAGCAGCAGCCTGGGAAGGGTTTATGTAGAAAAAGAAAATAAATAACGGAAAATCTGCTTGTAGATGAGAATACAAAACACAGACTCTCCCTAATAATATCTACAGTTTATTTGGCATTTAGTGTACGCTGTGTAATAAGCGCTTGTGTGCATCATCTCAGGTAATCTTCGCAAGCACTTTATAAAAATATTGTCACTTTTTTCGTTTCACAGAGGAAGATACTGAGGCCGGTGATTCAGATCCAGTCAGGCTGCCCCTAGTGTTCGCCCGTATAATTATTTACTTGCCTGACATTTGACAGGCAGTCTTGAGGTGGTAATTTATGACCAAGATAGATTGGCTCAATATGGAAGGAGAGCTTTCTCCAATGATAAAAAAGAATTGAAGAGTCAGTCTGCTGGGTGCCTTCTGGTCATTTCTTGCTTTGAATTCATTGGTAATGTTCTCTGTCTCCTATTTTCAGAAACAATTCCTTCTGAAGGCAGAATTGGTCCTTGTTTCCTTTTCCTCTTGAATGACAACCTATTTTTGAGTTACATCCTATTTTAACTCTCTTCATTCCGGTGAGATAGAAATTTCAGAACACCAAGAGGCTGAAATGGGTCTAATGGTTTCTCATGGTTCTTATTCCTTATTAGATACATACCCTAAACAACATACAGGTATCATAGTATAATTTCAGACTGATGACAAGAATCTGAAAGCACCTGAGCTTCATTCAAGGCTGGCTTTGAAAAGGAGACAGACAACAGAGGGGTTGCCATGTCTATCTGAGAGCCAAAGGTCTACACACAACCAAGGTACAATTCCAGCAATGGAATGTTCTAGCACTTTTGTATCCCTCCTTGACCAGAAATTGTGGGTCCTGGTGATATCCAGTTACAAGTCCCTTTTGTCTTGTTTGACCCATGGAAGAACAAGTTTCTCCCTAGTCAGTATGGAGATGCATGTCTGGAGAACAAACAGGATTCTTGATCAAAAGGAATCAGCAATTTGTTTTTCGTTAATACGGAGGGCAGCCTGTTTCTAAAGCCATGATTTTGGCTTGCTTCTGCTTCAATTCAGTGGTCCTGAGATAACAGACTTAGCTGTGACTGTGAAAATGAGCCAGTAGGGTCCTACTCTAATTCCCAATAATGTTCTGCCTATCCTCACTAGGAAGTGATCATTTCTTACTGTAAGATTTGGCCCTAAGCCCTGTATTTCTATGAATGGCCATAGAAGATCAGGTAAAGTTTAGGTAACTATTTAGAATGATGGTTCTTAAAATGTTGACTCTCAACCTGGAATCCTGGGCGTACCAGCCCAGAACCAAGCATGATGGTACACACCTATAATCCCAGAACTAAGGGAGGCTGAGACAGGAGCATTACTATGAGTCTGAACTGCATAGAGAGACCTTTTACTGACAAAAAAAAATGTTCTCAAAATAGCTTTACAGGGGCTGGTGAGATGGCTCAGTGGTCTAAAGCACCTACTTAGAACAAGCTTAGCAAAGCACAGGGACCATGGTTCAATCCCCCAGCACCACATGCCAGCCAGCCCTGCCCCCTGGTGGGCTGAGCTGGCCCCCGCCACACAAACATAAATAAATAAATTTAAAAATTAAAAAAAAAGCAAAATAGCTTTACACTCTCAAAAATTGTTGAGAACATAAAAAACCTTTAGTTTGTATAGGTGTAGATATTTATATCAAAAATAGAGGAGAAGGGGCTGGGAGATGGCTCAGTAGAATAAGTGCTTCCCTGGAAAGTGTCAGGGCCTGAGTTCAATCCCTGGTTCTGCCAATAAATAAATAAATAAATAAATAAATAAATAAATAAGAATTTTAAGCACTTAATGTAAGTAAGGTTACTCTTCCAATTTTATAGGAGGAGGAAAATGAGGTGTCAGATTTGGATCTTGGTAGACTAACTCCAGGGTTTCTTATAATAAATCTGTTTTCAGACTTCAAAAAAGTGAAGAGAATGGTGTTATATTTTTCAGTTTTGCAGATCTTTGTAGTGTCTGGTTTAAGAGGAAACTGCATTCTTATATCTGATTCTCCATTTAATGTAATATTTTGATTGTGCTTTGTATAGAAAATCTGGTTTCACAAAGATTAAGGAATATTTTAATAAGAGTTTTAGTTGTTTAATAGAATTTTCAGATAATTGTGGATATGTTTCTTTGTTATTACACCAACACCTGACAATTGATAATTTCGTAAAAGTTAGTTGCAACACGGAATCTAAAATCATCTCAAGGAGGGGCCAGGGAGATGGCTCAGTAGAATAAGTGCTTCCCTGGCAAGCAGGAGGGCCTGAGTTCAATCCCCAGTTCTGCCAAAAATAAATAAATAAATAAATAAATAAATAAATAAAATCATCTCAAGGAAACCTGTTGATCTATCTACCTTTTGAAATGATCTTTTGCCTCTGGATGCTTGAGTCTATATACATGCATTGGTCATTTAGGAAATATAGTCCACTGAGTTATACAGCTCTTCCAAATACTGTCACATGCCATTTTATGCAATATGAAAAGAACAATGTTCATTCAAACGATATTACTACTGATCTCATAAAAGTACAGTATTTAAGTGTTGGATAGTTATTAAGCCCACTGAGATGTGTATGAATTTCCCAAAACTTTTTTTTTTCTTGGAAGTTTAAATTTTATCATAAGTATCAAGTAATATCAATAGTGAGGTCTTGCTTTATTAACTCTTGAGAAAATGTTTGCCGAATCTGAATACTGTAATTTGTCTTTTTTTTTTTTTTTTCTCTGAATGCCTTCAGGGCAGGTTTGGCTGGCTGGAGTTGTGGGGATCGAACCACAGCCACCTGAGCCTGACTGCTTTGTTGAAGCAGCCACTTAAAGAACTGAGCTAAGGGGCAGGCCCCCTGTAATTTGTCATTGATTAAAGTAAAAATGTTCTGTGCAAAATGTGCTAGTTTTCTCAGAACTCAAACAATGGCATGAGTGTTTTATCTCAAATCAACCATTGTATCTCAGAATGCAGTAAAAGTACTGTATGATATTTCCCATTTTATCATGTAGACTATCAAAAAATACTCAAGGGACTGGATTTAATAAAAGTGATGCTTCAGCAGGAACATTTATTATTTATTTATTTATTTGCAGAACTGGGGATTGAACTCAAGCCCTTGCACTTGCCAAGGAAGTGCTTATTTTACTGAGCCATCTCCCCAGCTTCTAAACAGGGACATTCTTAAGTGATATGAGCTTTTATTCCCTTCCGTGAATACACTGGAGTGAAGAATAAATAACATGTTTACTAGTAGACATTGGTACCTGCTCTAATTTAGATCTTAAGTGTCCTCCAAAGCTCCCTGTAGTAAATGCTTTGGAGGTGGTAAAGGCTTTAAGAAGTGAGGGGGCCTAGCAGCTGGCCAAATAGCTCAGAGGATTAAAGCACCTGTAAGCAGGTGCAGGGGCTGGGAGGAGCGAGGAGTGCAGGCCCACTCACGGGGAACGTGCTGAGGTGGCAATTGAGATTCGGCGTGGTGGTGTGCGCCTGTAATCCCAGCTCTTGGGAGGCTGTGAACAGGCGGATCACTAAGAGTCTGATCTAGTAGTGGGCCCCTGAACATCCTGTAGACACTTCCCTAAAATACAAAAAAAAAAAAAAAAAAAAAAGAGGTGGGGTCCACTGGAAGGTCTTTTTTATGTTCCTTAAAGGGAACTGTAGGATCCTCGGTTCCTCTGCTTTCTT